GGCTGTGCATGCAGTGCCTTTGGTTCCTGGTAGGAATCTGCCTGTTTTGTACCTGTTTTGGTACTTGGTATTTGCTCTTCTGGCGTGCGTATGGAGTGATGGCGTCTGTTCGCGGTTTGTTGTGATCTCGGTGAGGTGATGGAGCTTGCGGTTCACATGATGTTTCGGCTTGCGACGCGTATACACTAATTCAAACCTTCCTTCAACCTTCTTCAGCTTGCTACATTTCATTCATAATACATGTCGGTATGTACCCCTACTCCAGAATTATGTTTTTTTACTCCAGGGTGACCCCAACGTGGTCCCTGTGATGGGAGCCTGTCCGTGTTATTTCGGATTTCGCACTGTTTGAAGAGACCGCGGCAGACCCCACTGTGACGCTTGCTCCTACTGAAAAAATAATGTGCAAGTTCTCATTCGCAAGCATGAATCTGCTATAGTTTGCTTCTGTTTTGTGACTACTACTAGGTGGAGGCCATCGCTATTAGGTTGGAGGCCATCGCTACTTGTAACAAGAAGCTATGTGATTCCAGTGCTGTTTTTCCAATCGTGGCCAGATCTGCGATTTCGGGCTGACTGAGTCCATGGAGATGCTCGGCCTAGGAGAAGGGCACCTTTGGATGGTCATTTTGAGCTCCCACATGAGCCATCACATTGGTTGAGGCAACTAATTAGGTGATTGAATAATATTGAATCCCAATACATCCGGGACGAAAAAAAAATGCATAAATCCGCCGGAAACTGAAGCTGCTGAGGCGCTTCATCACTTCGGGTCGGGCCTTCCCCAATAGCACATAGTGCTCACTTAGCTTTGTTAGCATTTCGCACGTCACCGACAGGCAAAAGTTGGTCGAAACCCTTCTTTACATGTGTTCAAAAATACTTAAAAGTGGCAATGTTGGACGATTTGGGGCACGCCTTCATCCCCTTTGCATGTGTTCTACTTTTCATGTGAGACTGTGAGTGATGGACAGAGTCGGTTTGGGCTTGGTTTGCGTTAGTGGTAGGGCTTCGTGATCGGCAGAATGCCTGAACTTGAGAACTTTGTGCGAGGGCTACAAGCAGATACATGGAGATACCTATACCAGAGCAAGACCTTGACAACGTATGACAACGTATCAATCCGACATAACCCAACATATATGCGGAAAGTGTTCTTCTGTGTGCCTCTTCCTCGTGGAACCAAGTCGCACACACATCACCAAAAAGAACAATGGAGGCTCGCCGAGGCCTGACCAGTCACACGAAGAATTCTTCCAAAGCCAGACATTAAGGATTTTGTGGAGCGGAATCACAAAGGATTTGGAAAGCCCTTTTGTGTGGTTTGGACACCCAGCTGAGCTTCGCATCATGACAACAGACGAAGCAGACGGCACAGGTACATGGCACCTGAGCTCTTCGATTGCAAGACGAAGATCACCGAGAAGATCGACGTGTCTTGACGGATCCGTTCGACCAAGTCCGTCGGATCTTCCTTTGGCCTGCAACGATGCACAGAAGAAGCGCTTCTGTCAGAAGGTTCTTGGGAAGCTGCGAATCAACAGTCTTATTTTGGCTGCGGAGACAATGTTATAAAATGTTATAAATTCCCAGTGTTCCAGATTTATTGGTGTGAATGTCAATACAGTTTCCGTGCATTTGATCAGCGATAGATTCTTGTGCCAGCTTTTGGTCATACACACCTGCAGCCTGTGTTGGTTCTTTGCCTGAAGAAGCTGGGGTCGAATTTTCGACATTGTTGAATGAGCCGTTTTGGTAACCCATCGAGTGATATTTGTGGATTTCCTTGTTGGTTTTAGAGCTTTGAACCTGAGCTGCAAAGGTTTGGGCAATGGGATGCATTTTCGTCGAGGCCGGGCTAAGAAGCATCACAAAGAAGCTTGTGGGCTGAGATCCATTCATATCCATTTCAATCCGAACCACGACTCTTCAGAAAAAAAACGTGAAGAAACCTGGACCGGTGAAGTCTTCAGACCGTGGGCAGGTCCGTTGCGGACCTGTTTTTTTTTTGCCGTGGAACCTTCCGTCAAGATCCGTTGCCGGCCTTTTGCTCATCGTGTGGATGGGATGCTTTCATTAGGTTTGTGGTGGACCACTTCCGTATGAGAAGATCACCACGCTTGCAGACCTCACAAAGGAGATGTTGATCAAGAGGCGCGGAAAGGGAAAGGGCTGATCATAAGTAAGGATCAATGATGATCAATGATCATTGCATCGTCAGTCTGCTTGCGAAATTGTAAGGCAAACTAGAGACATGGCTTCACATAGCACTGCGAACTTCTCCAGGAAAACTCCGAATGTTCCAGAGTTCATCACTGGACCCATGCGGGACATTTGCTGCAGGCTGGCAGGACTCAGCTAGACTCATCGACACAGATGTTGAAATATGTTGAAATCCATATTTCGCCATCCGAGAGTCTAGTAGTTAAAAGATTGCTTTTTTAAAGACACAAGAAGTGACAGGAGTGAGTTGAAAGACACGGATCGGGATCCAAGAGAGCACGTTCTTTTGCAAACAAATCAATCGCACCGTCGTCTTTGCCGAGCTTTGCCGTCCAGTTGCCTCAGCTTTCATTATCACGAGCGGCCCAGCAGCCAACGAGCCTTCGAGCTTTTGAAGGTGGGAGGTCGAGGTCGAGACGACACGTCGATGAAAAATCTTAGAGATCTTAGATCTTGTATGATCTTCTTTTTCTTTTTCTTCTTCTTTAGGCAGGTTAGGCCAGAGTAAGAGGAGGTTAGCTACTAGTAGACTTGGCGCTACTGAGTTTGATGCAGAAGGGCTCAGTCTTCTTCAAGGAAGCTCAACCATCAGGAGTTTCAAGAAACCAGCTTGTTGTGCTTCCAACTTTGGCGACCTCCCCAGATCTCACGATTAGCTTCACTGCTTTCAACCTATTTCACCGTCTTGCCATATCTCGCCATCTCGACAGGCTGCGAAGCGAGCTTGGAAAGAAATAGCTTAGCGCCCACTTGTGGCTGCTCTTGTCGAGTCACTCAACTATCTTCACTGCGGAATGTTGACAGCCTGAGATTTACTATGATATACTGATGCATATAATGCTAGGTGTGATGCTGTATTGATTAACTCGGATAAATATGTTCTATTAACGGGTCTAGCACCCACATAGGCTTGCAGCTTGAATTCGCCTTGCAAACAGATTGTGTGATTCCGAAATGTGTGGTCAGTGCAATTGTAGATCATCGCATGCGGTTCAAATTGCACGACTCCGTCAGAAGCCTGGTGCAACACGCGTGTTTTTGGCTTGTTTTTGTCGTTTGAATCACACAATCCGGCGTTTATAGAGCTCAGAGAGTCTCTGTATCACTTTGAGTTCTTAAACTCCGAATATGTTTTTTAATCTAGCTTTGCACAAAGATGAATTCGGCCCGCACCATGAGCCTAAGCTGCCTTGCTCTATACAATGCTGGAGGTTTGGTCGAAAGGTGATTTGATTCATTTGGTCGAAAGGCCTTGGTCATTTGATGTCATTTGTCTTTGGCTGTTTTGGTGCCCGCGGATGTGCACCTGCGGTGGGCGAAGTTTCTGCCTATGCTTTCGCAACAGCAAAATGGGTGTTTCGATCGGCGTGGGGCCGATCTTCAAAACCAATGACCCACGAACCAAGTTCCATACATAGGTGTTGAAAGGGCAAAAAAACAGATAGGTCGAAAGGGCCAGCTGAACAATTAAAGAATAAGAAAAGAAACTACTGCAATATATAAAGATTCCAAAAATAAATATGTTTGTAGAACTTGCATTCAACTTCGATCTGATTTTCATCTCAAGGGGACGTGGGTGTGTCCCAGGGACTCATCTGGAGGAGAGAATGGGAATGTGGGACTTGGACAAGGTCTGTGGAGAAGAGCTGTATCGAATCCCAAAAAGCTCTCGAGTTGGAAATCACTTGAAAGTAGGTTGGAGGCCATTGCTAGTAGGTTGGAGGCCATTAATACTAGTAGCTAGAAGCTACTACTAGCGATGCACTTGTTACTAGTAGCGATGCACTTGTTACTAGGTTGGAGGCCGTGCCTACCCAAAGTCTTTGGCCGAAATGGTTGAGACCGACAAGATGCGCATGTCACAGGACCATGGGGTGCAGCTCTTCAGGCATCCCTCAGGAGAAGCGATGCATGTCGTTGTGTGCCACACAAACGGAAAAGCGTGGGGAGGATAAAGCAAGCTTCCAACCGTGCCCGCTACCGAATCTTCGGATTCATGTTGCAAGCTCCTTTGCTCCTAGTAAGGCCCCGAACGTAGGTTCTTGTTCCTAGTAGCTTGCTTGTACTGTCATAGCCTCGGGTTTGTACAATGTTGCATTTGTCGCAGCGCCTGCAAAGCGTGTCCCTATAAACGCGTTCGCATCGATACACAGATACACCGATACACAGACCGAACCACACCCATACACCAAGGGCTTAAGAATTCGGGTCTAGGTTTAGGGTTTACGGCATCGACTGGCGTCTCGTCGTAGTGGTGGCGTAGAAAGCAAGGCGTCCAACACCAAGAGCGTAATGGCGTAATCACACTTAAGGACACAGGTTGCATGCGTCGCAAGTTGTCACGGGGACTGGCCCGCCACAGAACTTCAGTTTTCCCGCACTCATCGAGAGCCAGGAGAAGCCCAAGCCTGCCGGTCCACGTGACCATACTCATGGTATTGGAACTTGTGAACAGGCAGGGCCAAAAGGTGCAAAAGCTCCACCATCATTTTGAAGGAGGCTTCAGTGTTGCTCTCATAACACATGTGATGCTGAATTGAAAGGAGCATCAAGGTATATTGAAGTTTCCAAGTTTGCCAAAGTTGGCCAACTTGGACCACGGAATTGTAAAGTAATGTGCCTGACCATTTCTTGCAGATAGCCATAGCTGAAAAGCTATCTGAGCTGAACAAGTGCATGATCCAGATTGGTGATCGTGACATGTCAGAGATGGCAATGGCAGAGCAAAAGAATATATGGACCTGGAGCTATAAAATAAGAAAAAGAGTCTGAAGAATAGAGAAAAGAAAGAAAAGAATGGAAGGGGCCCTGGAACAAGGCGGGGCCTTAGTAAACGGACTGTTCCCTTTCTCTTTGTTCTCAATGAATGTATTGTTGTCTTCTTTCATCTTCTTCCCTTTGTTCCTTCTTTTTGATTGTCCTTCAACGTCTCGCCGAGGATCTGAAGCGGAATGTGATGCACCGCAGCAGCAACAGGACTTCGATTCCTGGAAACACCAGGCAAAACGAGATCAACACGGGGAACAAGCTGTTGTTGAGTTGTTTTCTTCTTTCTTCGCAGCATTATTTCGCACAACCACCACGTACCTGATAGTTTTAAGATGTTGTGCTTCTTCATGTATAGTTTCTTCGACTTCTCCTTCGCAAGTAGTTCTTTTCTGTGTTTCTCCAACCCAGCATGATTCTCCATCGCAGATTGACGCATCGGACGTGGAAGCGCTCACAGAAGGGCAGACACTGCCCATGAGCCAGTGGCTTTGCTGTAATGAGCTTCGCATTTCACTTCCTGCCAGACTGCTCCTTCACTGCCCGATGTTCCAGGTGGGCAGATGTGCAGAAGGCCAAGAAGATGAATAAATCCTTGAGCACCTTGGAGACTTTGAGTCTAGAGACGTGCCGCGAAATGAGTCACCTTGAGACCTTAGAGACGTGCCGCTTTAGAAACTTTAGAACGTGCCGCTGAGCTGTGGAGCTGTGGAGTTTTGATCGTATGTTCACTCAGTCGAGCTGGTCGAAGATCCTTCAGCCTTAAAGAAGGCAGTGAAGAAAAGACGGATGGCTTTGGAGGCGTTGAAAGACCTAAGTTCAACTTTGTGCAGATCGTGCTTTCGAAGTTGCATGTGACGCTAGGAAGTTGCGACGTATCGCAATCAACTCCCAGAAAAGGAAAGGAGGGACAGCCGGTCAAAATCGAGTTGCAAAGATGCTCCAACTGAGGAGTGTCTTGGAATGCAACAACTGAGTAGTGCAACATTTGGAGTATAACTATTTCATGTGCATGCTGCCGTAAACCACTGGAGGAATGTTATATAGCTGAAGAACACGCTAAGTGCGGCCAATAAACGGTTCATAGACTCATAGATCATCATGCATGTTGGCGCAAGATAACGGACACAAGTTGTCCTATTGACAGGAACAGAATGACTGGACAAACCATAGAGTGCAGAAGCTGGGTCAGGGAGATTGATGCACATTCGAGTACTTTGTTCCAGTGAAGCACATTGGAAAGGGATGGAAGAGGGATCTCCAAGATTCTTTACTGCTTGGGCTCGTTACTCGTTCGGAACACGGAAAAGCTAGCTGCTAGCTCCAAGAAAGTGTCTCCTGGACCCAAGACCTGAATTGTGACGTGCCACACGCCAGGGTCAACTCCACCCGGTCCGTGCTGGTTAGCGTCCGATCGCTCCGTTCGTAGCGATGCCCTTTGTTCCTAGTAGCAAGAATGCTCCTAGTAGTAAGGCCAGGAGCCCCTAGTAGCTTCTTGCTTGCTCCTAGTAGCGATGCCAGGAGCCCCTAGTAGCATCCTCCTTGTGGATTCCACTTTGTTTGTCACTTTGTCCAAACCACATCCAAATTGGTCTGAACGCGCGCACATTGGCACATAATATTACACCCCATACCGCTCGGTACAATCTGAGAAGGAGCCTTTCAGCAATGGTAAGAAACTACAACAAATCTTAAAACCACTACTTCACCAGCCTGGAAAGTGCCCACTTCACAACCAGAACCATACCATTTCACCACCGTGCTTCACCTTCACATCACTAGAGAAAAGCATGGCATTGCACCAAGAAGCGTTGCACCAACGGTCAGAAACAACACTTTTCAGAAAAAGACCGTGTCGTAAAACTCCGGACCAGTCCCCGGAACTTCAGCTCGGTGTTCGTGTACAAGGGAGGGAGCGACACAGTGCTGGTCCGTCGTTGCGGTGCCCTGAGGCCAAAAGACCGACGCGAAAGGCTGCTCGAATGAAGAAAGCATTCCGATGTCTCACGAAGTGGAAAAGGGGATAGATATAAAATATAAAGGAAATATGAAACCTAAGAGCTATGGCCTCCAACCTACGGGAAACATGAAACCGTTCACAACCATTATGTTCAGTGTCTAGCATAGCTGTTGGCTTTCTCGGCTTTGCAACTCCCTTTTGGCAGGCTTTGAGGAGGTGCATGGAATCCGCTGTAGTGCAATGCTTCGCCTTTGTATAGAGCGAAGTGAGTGAATAGGAAGGGTGGAATTCTCATTTAGCAGAGTGTACAACTGTAAATGTGAAGATTAACCACATGATGTATAAATGTAATTCAATGTAAATTGGTGTTGCTAGGTGTTGCTTGGTCCAATTGCGGGTGAACTCCTTGATCATGGAGTCACCTGTGCAGCTCCCGATGAGGGTTTGCAACCTTGCAACCTTTTCCATGGGGCCGTTCTAAATGGCCCCATTGACTAGAGTCAAGCGACTTTTTGCTTGACTGGGCATGTACATTGGCAGGTATGCTTCCAAAACTACTCATTGTTGAGCCTGGTTTAACCACAGACAACCTTCTAGCAATCTTGTTGATGACCTGCAGCAGACCAAAGAACTCACGTCCAAGAAAAAGGGGCACGTGGGTTGCTCTTGAAGAATTTGAGACATGGCCTTGATTCAAGATATTTGTTTGATGCTCAGGGCAATGATCAGTGTTGGCAGAAGGAGCTCGTTTGTGTGGAGCACGTTGTACAGCTTTTGAGACTAAGTCGCCCTCAGATACCGTACCCCTTTCTTTTGTACCAGCAAGTCAGCAAGTTTACTATGCTTCCGGTTATTGGGAGGTATCCACGGTGGCAGAATCTTCAATCGTTGGCACAATCATTGCAATCCTTGCAGCTGTTTGGCATGCAATGTGCTCAATAGAATATGCGGTTGCAGCAAATGCGGTAGGATCATGCACATGCCATTCTTTGATTCAGATCGAACTGTGGTTTCATGTGGTTTCATCAAGGATGAAATTGAAGCTTGCGGTTTTCCATTTTGCCGAATGTGTCGAGAACTGCACCGGGTCCGAACACTGAATTGACTCCGCGCCGAGCTCTGAGGAAAATCAAGTAAGACGCAGAAACTCTGTCGTCGCAAAAGTCTCTTCGCTGAGGATGGGTTGCAGCCATAGCTGCGTCTCTCAACTAGTGATGCGCAAGGACTGGGCCACAAGGTCACACGGAGACAAACCCACCTGCCTTGATGTTAAACGCCTTTGCAGGTGTCTTTGTTCTTTCTTTCTTCTTTTCCTTGTTCTGATCATGAGTTTTTTTCAATATTCCCCTGGTCTTTGTAACAAGCTAATCTTCTAATCGACCTACTGTACTCAAGGATGAGGGCCATACTTTTTTGTCGACTACAAGTTGGCGAACGTGGCCAAGTTGCATTTGATGCGTTTGACGCACCGAGTGCTGCCACTCTCCCATGAGGCTCAGAAGCCGAATGTGCTGCGCCAGTAGTCAGGAGAGTCTACAACTCCTGGAAGCACGAGGCGAGCGATGATAGCGACGGCCTCCAACCTACTTGCAATGGCCTCCAACCTAATAGCAATGGCCTCCACCCTAAAAGCGATGGCCTCCAACCTACTAGAGATGGCCTCCACCCTAATAGCAATCTAAAAGAGAATACAAAATCGAGCCCAAGGAGTACTCCAGACTCCAGACCTATTCCTCAGGCTGAGCTGAGATGATGTTATGATGTTATGTGATGTCATGTCACGTAGGTTGATGCGACGGACCTAGAATTGATGGAAGCTGGACAATCCCTGCCAGTAAATCAGTGGCTTGGCTGATGTTTCATTTAGGTGTCACGCTGAAGCGGAAGATGTGCTGTGTAGTGCGAAGCAGCTGTGCTCGGAAATGTTCCCAGGTGGGTGCACACTTGCATGGAGCAGGAAATGAGCAAGAGTTTGAGTGTGGAGCTTGGCTTCGCATGTGGATTTTTTTTTCACTATATAGTCAGTACTGCTGCCTGTTGGTAGGGAAGTTCATCATGATGCAAGCATAATTAACCTCTCGACAGGATAGAAACGAAAAGTATAAAACAAATAAAGCGCAACAAAAAATGGTAAAGGCCATATTGAAGGGCCCTTACCTTCTGCTCACTGTGGGGAATGAGGCATTGTGGGCAACAGGATGTCTTTGAGGATCTCCTCTCCTTGAAGTCAACTGTACGAGGGGTTCCCTGAAGACTTTCAATGCAGGTTCCATTCAATCTTAAAAGGCTGGGATCCAGAAATACAGGTTCGAAATAGCCCATCGGCCCATCAGTGTACTCTGACCGGAAAGTTCTCACGCATTCACTGCTGCACTGCTGCACGAAGTTCTAGCATCACAAGGAAGACTTGTGCGCTCTTGTTGACATGGCTGCATCACTAAAATCTATACAACTACGGAGTTGGAAAGCCGGCAATACTCTCTCGGGTGGTTCGTCGATTGGGGCACAGCAAAGGGCTTTTGGCGCCCAGGTGATTATTTGCAAGATCCATCAAAATTGGAGAATGCCATTGCTACGAGGCGCTTGAAATATGAGGAGCCAGTTGGCAAAGGCTCTTGAGATCAACTTTCATGGACTGGACAGGATGCTGGAAGCCATGGTGCAGCAATATCAGGGACAACAAGCTATTAGGTTGGAGGCCATCGCTACTAGTAACAAGAAGCTACTAGTAGCAAGGTGCCTTACATGGACAGGATGCTGGAAGCCATTGTGCAGCAATATCCACAATTTGTAATTGTTGATCTTTGCCACTAGAAATGCATTCAACAAGTATAAGAAGACCGTGTGTCGGTTGTGTGGGCGATCACGAGCAACTGTCTAGGTAAAAGCAGGACTGATACAAATGGAATCCAAAGCATCTTTGTGATGTGTTTCTGCCAAAATGTTGTTTGGAGATTGCCTGAAGTGCACAGGCAGCTACCCAGTCCCGAGTAGGCAGAACTTTTGATACAGGTTTTACAGAAGACTCGCAGGTGCGAAAGATTGGTCACCATATGTCACCAGGCAGTGAGATAAACAAAAAGCGAACGTCCCCCAGTTGGCGTGACGCCCGCAACTGTCGAAATCGCGGCTTCGCGGCTCTCACCCTTTCTGTCAAATGCTATGCGGCACTCACGCTCAAACTGCAAGCATGATCCATAGTCGCAAGCATGCACATGCATGATAGTGAATGTCACGCATCCGTGCCAGTCAGACTGTAAACCCCCCCAAGTGTTCTTCCTGCTTCCAGCATTCTCCCACTGTCCCAAGTGTTTGGACCACCCAACATATCTTTACACAGCACTTGCACCATCCAATTGCCTGAAGCCCAGCGCTAGGAGCTGCTTACAAATGCTGATGTGACTTGGGCCAGACATTTGTCTCGCGCCTCCGAGTCATGTTCTGCGAATCGACTTCCATGTATCCGAAAGATGGAAGTCGAAGCGCTAGCTGACTGGCCACTCCACTGGCCCCCCCAAACAGCATGCTCATTGAGGTCGCGAACAGCCAGGCTACCACTGCTACTCGCCTTGAATTTGGCTGTTCTTTGGAACTGCGTGACGCAGAGAGTGACATCCCGACAAGCAGCTCACCAGTAGCGTGGTCATATGAGTCATGGTGCTGGTAGTTGCATAGCCAAGACAGCCCGCTCTCGGCCGTTGCTGAGGCGACCAACAGTGAAGTGGTATGCCAGGCGATCACGGACTCGGCAACTTGCTTCAACTCAACGCTTACAGCGAATGTGGCAACTGACAGCGACCGGCAATGTGAGGTTTTCGACATACAGTATCACCATGAGGCGGTAAATGGACCTTTCTCAAACAGGTTTTCTCGTCGGTTCCAATCTTCTCCAGAAGCACCTTTCGCCAAGAAATACCGCGTTTTGTTCTTCTATATCTGTGGCTTTTTGGGGTGGAAGGCTGTAGTATGCTGTAGTAAACTTACTAAGATGAGTTTAATTAGATTAAGTTTAGATTACTGTATTGCCGCGTTTAGTTCTTCTAGTAACTTAATCTGTAATTTAATTTGATTAAGCAGCTATATAGGCGCCAGGACGCACTCTTTGCTTTAAAGAAGCTTCCTTGAAGAAGCCCCTCGCATGATTGAAAAGGTTCCTAGATTTTTGGAGAAGCTTAACTTTCAATGTGTTTTTCCTCGTTTTATGTTTAACCCGCCCCTAATTAAGTAGGTGCCTACTGCCTACTTAACTAAGTAAGGGGGACGCAGGATGGCTCACACTTCTATTCATTTGGTTCCGAGGTCTTCAGGTAAAAAAAAGGTGTTCATGCTTGGAAGCCAAGGATCAGAGTTCCAAAACGGCAGATTTGCTTCTGCAGCTGAAGAAAGGGAGACTTGGATTATGCAAAGAACGGGAGAGAGTGAGTGCATGCGTGCGTGCGTGGGTGTGTGTGTGTGTGTGTCACATCCTGTTTCAAATGATTTGAAACTGCAGGGGGACTGGAGCCGATTTGCCTATTCAGTCCAACGAAGCTTTGGCATTTCGGTGGATGAGTGGTCTGATCAACCACTTGCACCTGCAAATTTTAAATCGTTTCCTCATGTTTCACCTCTATGTTCCAACATGCTGTTCGACCCAGCACTTCTTACCGTTGTATCAAGTCAAGTGCTAAGTAATCACGTAGAGGGCTAACGCACTGGGAGATTTTCACTGATTCAGCTCTTGCGAGCCTTTATCTAAGTGTGTTTCGCCACAGAGACGGAGTCCCACTGTGGGCTGTGGTGTGATCCCCAGCGAGGAGCGCCGCATGTTTGCACATACCCTTAAGGTTGATTCTCCCTGACTCCTCAGATTGCACGTGAGTTTCTTTGACACTTCAGTGTTCTGCTCAAGATTGCTGAACACGCCGCAGGGCTTACTGACTATCTCTCAACAGAATGCCCTTCCATGCAGCTAGGTAGTCATAGGATGCAGACGGGACTGCTAAGTAATCAGTTTTTGGTTCTTTCTCTCCCGCTGTTGCTCTTCGTTTTCTAGGCTTTCCTTCGTTGCTAGAGGCTTTTTAGGTCTCAGGTTCTTTTTAGTCAAGTGCTAAGTAGTCACTCGTACGTTTCACCCTGAGTAATTCATGCACGGTCTTGCTTTCCTTCTTTCCGGGATTCTTTCCTCTTCTTCAGGTTTTCGTTCCTCGCTAGATGCTTTTTAGGTCTCAGGTAAACTTTTAGTCAAGGGTGCGCCGTTTACGGCTTTCTCACCAAGTGCCTTCGGGCCTGAGCCAGCCACCCCACCCCACCCCTCACACCCCCTGCGCCTTTTCTTTCCTGTCCTTGCCTTTTTCGTTTGTTTGGTCTTTCTTTCAGGCTTGTTAGGTCGGCTTTCAGGCTCGCTTCAGTGAATGCACACCCGGCCCTCCCCGCACGCCCTTGCACTTTTTCTTGTCTTTCCTTGCCTTTTTCGTTTGTCTTGTTCTTTTGTTCAGGCTTGTTAGGTTGACTTCCAGGTTCGTTTAGTCAACGCACGTCGGACCCCGCACCCCTGCTCCCCCCCACCCCACCAATGTGCGCCGAAAGACGGCCTTTTGTGTGTGTCGCATCCTGCTTCAAAGGATTTGAAACTGCAGGGGGACTGGAGCCGATTTGCCTATTCAGTC